CCGATCACTTGCGCAATAATTTCCGAACGATTGGCGAAACGTAAAAGTTGCTCGTTTACACAAACATCCGCACATATTTATTGTTGCAAGTAAGATTTGTCATTTGCGAGATACGCAGATAGCAGGATCTCGAATAATAGACGACGGAAATTTACAAGAGCCTTTTAAGGTTTTCTCCGTACCCTACTTTGGATCAGCTACGCCGTGTTCGTTTTACTCTTTAAAGATGCTAGGCGTGAATTACGCATTTCGAGCCGGCGTACTTATAACTCGCCCGGTTACTCGATATCGATAGAAACTCGTCAGACATTCGAATGTACGCTCCCAACAACTATTTCGGTACGACTCTATATGCGCGTTCTAATAACTTTTTCCCGATCGAGACGGCTGACCCAATTCTTAACCTCCCGCGACCCCTTACAACCGATAGGGAAGAGAGGTACCGTTTGATTCGGATAAAGATACCCTTTATTCGAGCACCGCTTTAAGCAGCCGAGTTTTAATAACATCGGGAAGTAGGCCGATTGTCCTTTCGACAAGTCTCTCCCCATTTGCGGTTGATAATTTTATTTACGGAGTAGCAGTCCATCTGCGACCACGTTTACGCGGTGGGCTTATGATTCGGTTCAATAACAACCGTGTACTACCCGGTCCAAAATTATTTTCTTCGACCAATATGCCTTGCTTGATAACTACAATTACACATACGGGGTGTCGTAGGAAGCTCGATAACCCTTTCACTGACGGATTCTGTAGAATATTCTAAGACGAAAATCCTTGGGTAAAGATCTGTGCCCACGATGCCTAGAACTTGGACACAGGCCTTAAAAATGTCGAGGCTATCATAGTTTTTAAATGGGGAGCACTTAATTATAGTTGACCAATCAGTTTGCGGAAATTTCGCGCGTTCGGGCATGGTATATCCTGAAGGTGCCGCTTCTCAAAGTAATTTCTTTGTCATATTCAGAATTTACCAATTTCTGAATCGATATGCAAGGGCACTTTCTATATATATACAGGGTGTACTAAAATACAGGGTGTACTATCCTTTTAATCACAGATTCTTTAGAAAATTTCAAGAGAAACATTCTAATACAAAAATGTCGAGGCTATAATAGTTTTTAAATAATAAGCGATTATGTTTCACAAATGGCAGGCCTGAGATGTCGCGCGCTCAGGCACGGCGACATGACGAGTGATAAAAGTGTTCCTATAAATTTCATCCCTCTTCGTTTAATTCAAGTAATAATTTGGAACATTTTGTATCTTCAAAGTGTTGCAGCTGTCAAAGTTGTCGTTCAGTATCAGTTTCCATGAAGGTTGTTACCATGCTGAAAAGGGCGACATTCATAGGAGCACTTTCATCACTCGTCATGTCGTCGTGCCTGAGCGCGCGAAATCTCAGGCCTGTCATTTGTTATCATATAATCGCTTATTATTTAAAAACTGTTATAGCCTCGACATTTTTGTATTAGAATTTTTCTCTTGAAAGTTTTTAAAGAATCTGTGATTGAAGGAATATTCCGTGGTTTTAGTACACCCTGTATATATGTATGTTATACAGAGTGTATATGAGACCCTGTATACAGAGATCGATTGAAATGTTTAGAGCAACAAAATAGGCTCGAATTTAAGTGATCATTATCGTCAAAAGAAGAAACACGTTGGATCAGATTATTAAACCGGATTACAGGCTGTCGTGCAAACGTAGTCTGCTGCGAGAAAATACAGGGTGCTTTCCAGCAACGTACACAGGCGACACTACGTAACAATCGTCTTATCTTTGTTGTTTGTCTTTATTAAACAAGGATGAAATAATTCTCTGTATTACACCGTGTCAATCTGTGTCCCTCGCTGGAAAGCATCCACAGTTGAGTCTTTAATGTTTCAACAGAATCTTGACCTACAATGCAGGGATAATATTTCGCGACTTAAAATTCGCGCGGCGTAACGAATGTATAAACTTAAAGGAAAAGATCGATTCCAAAGCAGCCGCGCCAATTAATGGGCCATTTTAGAAATTAAGGTCAGATTCTCTGGAGTGTCCTGTATTAATAATGCATGGAAAAACACATATAGACGTATAGGACTGCAGCGCTATTGTATGCGTTCGAATCTTGCGAGACTAATTTGTAGAAAAAGTGTTATATGCTTCCGCTCGCTGATTGATCTATAAACCCACCGTCTTAACTTTCCATTAACTGTTTTCATTAAGCTAACTCAAAAAGATAACCGTTGAGACTTAAATATATCTGTCTCTCCGCACGCTTAATTAAAATCCGATTATAACGAGGTAATTTGTGTGTCGCACACATTCAAATGTATTCTTACTTCCTTTTCAATGAGAGAACAAAGCTAATAATAAAACAGATCGATGACCCAGCTAGGCGATTTAATTGTCTCACTCAATCCCGTCTAAAGACAAACCTGGAAAAGATTTACAAAGCCGCTTATCCGTGTAAGTGAACCGGGTTGTTTTTCGAATGTCATTGATCACGTCAGATCGACACAGATCCCTCGCACTTTTAGGCCGCGTATTAATATTTTGCGGGGTTGGGAAAGTTATATAAAAGTATCTGGTTACAGCTACAAGTCACCGCTTCTGAAAAGTAACGCGTTAAACTTAAAGTTACTCAAAAAGTAACGTATCGTTACTTTGTGCGGGGTTACTTACTTGCAATGAAAATAAACATATCAAATCCGCATTTGAATTGTAGAGCGCCGATAAAGACGTTTATGCGCGAATGCAAGGCCTAATGCGACCCGTGGAGGTTTAAAAAAAAAAGATAAAGCAACAATCAATGCAATTAATAAATTAGTTACTAGTTATCGAAAAAATGTAACTGCGTTTAGTTACAGTTACAGGTGGAGAGAAAGTAACGTAGAGCTACCAAAAAAAAAAACCTGCAACCGTAACGTCGCTACAATGTAACGCGTCACTTACCCAACCCTGATACTTTGCGTACGTCCCCCGCGAAACGTCTACGCTGTAAAAGCGGAAAATTCGTCCTTACATAGAATCTCCCTAAATAGCTGGCGCACGCGGCCGCGGGCAACGCGGTCGGAGTGTCAAAAAGTGGACTTGTCCCGCTTCGCGGTTCGCGGCACCAATTGGATTCAATTGGAGCCAATCGCTCGCCGGGGCGCGTTCCAAAACCGCCGCCGCGGCCGTGTGCGCGCGCGCCTCCTACGAAATCGTGGGAAGCGAGGGGCCCGATCAAATTTTCATCCGAGAAATTCTCTCCGAAGGAGTTTGCGATCGCGGGGAGAAAGCGCGCGGCTCCCCGCGCACTCCACTGTATCATCCGAGCACTCGGAACTGGCGGGCAGCGACGGCGAGCGGTTGAGGCTCCGCGTCTACGATCGGCGCTGATGCGCCGCCGCCGCCGCCGCCGCCGCTGCCGCCGCTGCCGCCGCTGCGGCAGCCACCACCGCGTCCGCCGTGCCGTATCGCCTCGCGCGCGCGGTGTGCCGCCGTCGCTTACGCGTCCGCCCAAAAGCCAGCGCGCCTGGTCCGCGATCGCCATCATGAAAACACTCGCCCGTCGTTATCGTTGTTTCGCCTCCGTCCTCGCGGGCTGAGCGGATCGGAGGTAATATCGAGCGTCGGTGAGCCGGGGCGTCCGCACCGACCGCGCGCGACAGCACGGCACGGACACGTTCGCGAGCGCTCGACCGACGACGCACCACGGCCCCCGTTCGCCGCCGCCGCCGCCGCCGCCGCCGTCGTCGCCGCCGCCGCCGCCGCCGCCGCCGTGCACGGAAACGCCAGGCTGAAGGCTGCTCCGTTCCGTCGTGATTTCGCGTGCCGCGTGAAGTGCGCCGCAAGAGAGGATCGTAAAACGAGAGTGAGACAGAGAGAGAGAGAGCCAGCGCGACGGGAGAAAGAGACGGGGCGATCCTCTCTCGGCAGTCCTATTGTGCGCGGGGTGTCCGCGGGTCGCGATAAGGATACGGTCGCCGCCACTTAAATGCCTCGCACAAATTCCTACTCCATGTTGTGCATCGGTTGCGACACGGCTACGTGTTGGAAAGTGAGTTAAATATCGGCGGTACGTACGCCGCGCGCGCGGATCACGCCTTCCCACGGGGCCTGGGGCCCTCGTCCCTCGCGCGGCAGAGCGGTGAGGAAGGGAAAAAAAATGTCATCGCCAAGATGACGTAGTAAAAATTCCTAGGAATTGTTTCCCCTCTTCCTCTCGCCCTCTCGCTCGCTCCCACCGGGGGCTTCTCGCCTTCCTCGCTCTCTGTCGCTCGCGCTCGGGGGCCACCGTCCAAGTCACCTCCACCTCCTCCTCCTCTTCCTCCTCTACTCCTCCTCCACTCCGTGACGGGGTCCTTTTGTCGAAAATTTCGGTTATTATCGAGTGCCTCGGCGTGTCCGCGGGACCAAGGGCATGCCTCATTCAGAAGATATTTGTGTTCTGACCTTGCACGGCGCGGCAAGTAGGATAAATTGCCGATATATAGGTCCCATTTTCTCCTCTCGCCAGTTCGCGCCGTGTTATCTGGCGTTTTCGAAAAAGATCCGCCCGCCTCTCGCTCGTCCCCGAACGCTCGTTGCGATTATCAGCCGAGCACCGCGATTCTCGCGGATCTCCCCGCTTGCAATTTTCTGGCACGACATGCCACGGTCTCGCTGGGACAGTTGCACTTGTCTCTTTGTCGCCGTAAGGATCGGAGATAGCGCAACGTATCGCGCGAATTAACGCCACGAGCGTTGTATTTATAAACCGCGATACACTTTGTGATCTCGCCTCGACAGCGATTTGACTTTGTCGCTCTCGTTTGCGACGTGTTTTAGCTTGTAACGCTTTATATATATATATTTGGATACGGCACCCAAATTTGAAAGGGGACGTCGACGTTCCATTCGAGCCACTACATACATAACAAGTTGGCATTGTCCATTCGTGAGCAATTTAGTAGCGTAGGACCATCGATTGACGATTGATTTTGCCTCACCCCCGCTAATGAACTGTACGATTTGCTTGTGACAGGTGAGTACATGGTGACACACGGTTGCAGAGGAGCAATTGGGAAGAGAGCCGCAGCAAAGGACTACACCCAGTTATCTTACACCAAGCTGACTGCAACTTTCCACTGTTTCTCGAGGCAGTGATCGCATAACTAGGATACACAAACGGGAGTTTGCTCGATTAACCAAGAGTGACACTGACAAAGACGAGAGTTATGGAACGAGAGTCTAATCCTATGCAAGCTCTGTGTCGCAGTGGCTGTGGATTTTATGGCTCGCCAGCTACTGATGGCCTTTGTTCCCTATGCTATAAGGAAAATCTAAAAAAGAAGCAACAACCACCAGTGTCAGCTGCCACCGTACCAACCTCACAGACTGTCTCCAGCAACGCTGGTACGTTGCAAGGCAGTTTCGGTAGTCCAGCAGCTACAGGAACGACGGCCCAACCTACCATTCCTACAATACCTCAGTCAACGTCAGATCTGCCCAGTCCCAAAGAAGTGAGTATCACCATGCGCTCTCCCGACAGCTGTTCCGCACAAACGTAACGCCTTTGTTCTCTCAATTAATTTGCAGAAAATAGCGCTTATAAGCAGTCCTGAACCCGCAAGGTCGTATACATCAAATTGTTTTTAGTCTATATTTTGAAAGCGCCAAGAGGACAGAATATTAGAGTGTTGCTCGCGGATAATTAGAGTATTGCTCGAAGGCCTTACCTGACATTAATGCGCAACACATACCTATTGCTTCTCTCGCATTGTGTTTCGTTAGAAATTTCTTCGTTTATACGCGGACTGTGAAAAGGGACAAGAAATTGCAGAATTGCCTATACCTGACAAAAGCAGATTGCCCGTCAAAGAGCAAATTATGCAAACACATCTGATTATATTATTGAAACATTCATTTTCCGGCGTTGATTATGAACTCATTCCACATCCGCACCTGTCCTATGCGTTACTCGAAACTTTTGTAAACGACATAGGCAGATTTACATCTAATTGACAATTGTTTAACATAAGGATTTGTACCTTTGTAATATAATAATGCAAATCTTTCCATTAAATTTGAAATATGATGGAAACTTAAGAAACATAAAAGATATAAAGGAAACTTTAGAGGGATTAATAGCAAATAATTGTTTTCACTGTTCTTATGGTATGCGTTATACTTTTGTCAACCAGGTAAACAGAGAAGATCAGGAAAGTGAAGTAGGTGTAAGCAGTGCAGTAGCTGAAGGCTCATCGGCGAGTAGTGGCGATGTAGACGACTCCTTCGATGGCAAAGAGACTGATAAAGAATCTAAGAAGAAGAAAAATCGTTGTGCTGTATGTCGCAAAAAAGTTGGTTTGACGGGTAAGCGCTAATTTAATACCTAACAGCGAATCAGAGTTAATTTTGTTTTTTCACGATGATGAACTTTCAGGATTTGAGTGTCGTTGTGGAGGACTATTCTGCGCCGTGCATCGATACAGTGACAAGCACGATTGCAAATTCGATTACAAAGAAATGGGCGCTCAAGAAATTCGGCGCAACAATCCAGTTGTTGTTGGTGAAAAAGTGCAAAAAATTTGAACTATTTAGTGTGTAGTCGTTGGGAAAATGGTTATTATAACTATATAAACAAACAGAATATAAAGAAAAACACGCAGAAAACGAGATAAATTATCTGGCAGCTGATTCGCACGTCGAGGGGTGAAACGAGCGAGCGAGCGAGCGAGCGTGTAAGATCGTGTGTGCGAGCGAAAGTATGAATGCGAGCGTGCGCGCAAGATCGACTGCAAAATTGTTTTTTAGCTGAATGCCGAGGAAGGGTAGAAAGGGGAAAAATGAAGAGGAAAAGAAACGAGTATCAGACAGAACAAATAAACGAAAGATTGCAAATTAGAATGTGTGTGCGCGTGAGTGAATGATTCGTAATTGGATGCCAGTGCCATGTAAGTTTCAGATTGTCATCTAGTGAGAGAATTTTAATTGAGAATATACCTGGTTACTAACTGCTGCCAGCTTACTACTATTATTACCTATTATTATCTTCATGATTATTACGGTTTATAATTATTCTATATTATGTTTATTAATTTACTTAAAGTGAAAAATTTGCGAATATGAAGCTCGTTTTACGTAAAGGCAGAACAACTCTTGGTGCGGTCAGTCGGTCCAGGACGTCTTAGGAAAGTTTTGGTTTGTTCGAGAAATTTTATACATTGCTGTTTCGTTTATATATCAAAAAGTAAAAAATAGGGAATGTTGCTTAGGTAATGGCTGACGATGATAGGTGATCACAATCTTAGGTTAATAATTAGTCTAATAATTATTAAGTATATTAGTCTATTGATTCATAAATAATGCAATGAAGTATAAGTAGTACTGTGTGTTTATGTCCAATTTCACGTGAATATAACCAGCAATTATTACTCATTAAATATGTTTCAACCTATATTGCAAATAATTATTTACACTACGGCCGCCAATCTGGGATTTGTAAATTAAACCCCTCTTTAACGTATTCTTCGAGTTCTCTTAGACCATAAATGAATTGTTAATGGTTGAAGTCGATTAGTTTCATTTATTTTTGCTTGTTTTGCGAGTTTCGTAGGGTAGCTGCGCGAGGTATTCCGGTGCTGCACAGCAGCGCATAATGTAAGAGTAAATGATTAATAAAATGTCTAGAGAGGCCGGGCATTATATGAACGACGAAAGAAGAGAACTATTAAAGTTTGTAAAGTGTGAACGTATACTGAAAACCGTGCGCGAAGAGGATATTACACTGATAAATTTTATATAATCCACGTACATACTTCTATTTTTCTTCTCCGCGCTCAAAACTCTCGTGCCGAATTTTACTCATTTTATTTTTCGTCCGTCAAACACCTATAAATGTTTGTAAAGTTATAGCATACGCGGAAAGGTGCTATAGCTCTGTTCAGCTTTGTTGTATTACTGTAAAACAAGATGAGTGAAGATGATAAAACTGCGCAAATTTTGCCTCACGTATAGGTCAATTCTTTAAGAGAGCTTCATGAGTGGGTTTGAATTTTTGAGGAAAAAAAAACAAGTATATATTGAAATACATACTGCGACTTCCCGATTTCGCGTAAAACAAAGTAGTGAAATGTTTCCTTCCTTTCTCTTTCTTTACATTATCCCGAGACAAAGCGCTTAATCTAAATTGTGCTGCCGTGTTATTTTACTTTTTTGTTTCTTGTAATTAGTGGACTTGTATGAAGGTGAATATTATCCGCCTAAAAATTAATTTCTCTTATTCTTTTGCGTCACCTCGAACGAGCAAATGTACATCAAATATCTTATTATTTTCGATAAATATATAAAGCGTTTTGTTAAATGTGTAATCGTAAGGTCTATCAAGCTTTTTATATACATATGTGTCTTTCTTTCTTCAGGTTCTCGAAGATAAGCAAATCTTGTTGCTGCATTAGTTATCCCGTATTAGTTACCAAATAAACTTGACGTGTCGTCGCCGAAAGTACTCCAGCCGCGAACGATTTTTTTCTCTCTTCGAACACACGCAGCGAATTTCCGGAAAATCTTGCGGACTTGACGATACCTAGAGATTAAGGCGATCGAAAAGGATCTTTCGGCATATAATCCATCGATAAATTCGGGCACGATTCTTCGCGATCTTTACGGGACGACTTGTATACATGCGCCGACTTCACATAGACAATATATACATATATATATCTATATATATATACTTTATCTTGTATCAAGATATTATTGTTGTCGATGAATCTGTTCTTTTTTCCTTTTTGGCGCACCTTTTTAAGAACGCTGATGAGAGAAATCAGAATCGTGTATAGAAGAAAACGCACACCACATACACACTTACATTCACACATCTACACATAAATACATACTATACACACACACACACACACAGGGACACAGACACCGATTATCAGTAATATCGACGGAATGGTTGCCTTCAGGCCTTCATCCTATTTTAGGCATAGCATATTTTTCTAACGTGTATCGCAATATCGGAATAATCTTGCCTAGCGAGAGCGATCGAATGACCGAGAGAGAAATAGGGAGAGAGTGATTGAAGGTATGCGTACATGGAGAACGGAGATGCCTGGGGAGAGTGCGGCAGAGGAATGCGTGCAGGAACATAAATGATTTATAGGAGATGAGCGAAAGGGAGAGAGAGACTGTGAGAGAGAAAGAGAGAGAGAGAGAGAGATAAACAAAAAGATTATCAGCGACGATCGTACTCGGCTGACTATATAAGGACGTAACACGATGCTTGTAATTATTACGATTGATATTAGTACGTTTAAGCTATTAAAAAAGTAACATCAACTTTAATATATTATATGATTACAATTACCATCCTTTGAAATGCTTTAGACATTTAGGTTTTACGTACGTGAAGGAAGTTAGTGTACTCCCTACCTACGCTCTCCCCCCTCTTCCCACCCTCTTGTCCTCGGCCCTCCCCCCCCCCCCTTCGGCCCTGTACGGACCCTTTTAACAGTTCTCGAAACGTTTATAATTATAGCGGAACTATATTTATGTATATTTAAAAACAAAATATATATAAATGCATCGCCCCTAACGAAAGCCGGAAATCGTTTTTTGTGCGTTCTCGACTACTTTATATAGAGCTCTTCAGCTAGCACCTCATCGAATTATATTGTAGCTGTACTGTACAAAGAAAAAAAAAAGAAAGAGAGAGAGAAGAGGAAACGTCTCCCGGAGTTTAAACGAGGTGCGACCTTATTTTCTCTGTAATGGAAATTTTTGCTGCAATAAACGGTTTATCTTTTACCACGCTGGATGTACCCGATGACAATCTCGATCGAAACTCGTGCCTATTGCACGTACGACGGCGCCTTTTGAAGAATTCAACGGTAGCAACACGAGCGCATGTTTTCGAGCGCGACGCATCGCTCCCGTGCAACAGCGGATTCTGATTTCGACGCGCGACTGAAAGGCTGCCATTGTAATATTCTACCGAGAAACAACGCGATTGAGACGAAACGAGTATGTAAAAAGAAAGAATAGGAATATTTCCAGGATAATTTTACGAGCAAGAGAAAAGAGAACGGCGATGGGTCGTTATCGAAGGTGGAAAGCGGAGGAGGAGGGATTTGCTACGAGGAGATAAAAAATTCTGGAAAGGAGGGGGGGGATTACATGGATACTCGAAGGATACAAAAATCCTCGTCCGTTTTTGGTTAGAAATTGCGCCGAGGCTCTCGGCGCAAAGTGCCTCGTTATACTCGTGGCCATTGCATGAAAATCAGAAGCCGCGGCGAACGGAAAGAATTGAGGAGTAAAGTGGACGATAAGGCATTCTGTGGGAATGATTAAGCATGGCAATTTCAGTGGGAGAAACAGCGGACCGATGAATCGGCTCTAACGAACGCGGATGCGTTTTTTTTTTCGACTTGTAAAACTCGCACGAGATCCGTCTCCTCCGTCGGGGGGCGAAATGCCTTGGCGAATTTACATAACGACGTGACATATAGCGCAGATACATATAACGTAATAATTAGAGGCGTTCAGCGCCATTTTATTTGGCGGGGGTTCAGCGTCAGCGATTGATCGGGACGTCGCGTCTCTCTGTTCGCGCGAAATCGTGTTTCGTGACGTTAAAGCCGCGTTTAGAAGGAACGACTTCGATCACGTGGCCACGCAAAACGCAGTAATGGGGCCCGGTTTCATCATTTCCGATTAATTTAATCGGCTGATTAAGTGGCAACCGTGATTGGTCAATTTTGCTTACGATAAATATGCGATTGTTCAATCTCACTGGAACACTAAGGCCGGTATTCATAGTCAGATCTTATATTCAAGACCGTCTTGAATTTATCTAAAGATGCTGTACGGAATATTTAATTGGCTATGGAGCATCTATAACCTTAAGACGATCTTGAATATAAGATTTGACTATGAATACCGGCCTTAAATTTTAATCGGAGATGGCGAAACAGACGTTCGCGTGTGTGTGTTATATGAAATTATAATTATCTACTTGAAAAATACGAGAGACGAAGGCGCAGAATTGGGCGTCGATTCCCTTCGATATATCGATCGACCAGCACTCGCTCATTACTTCACGCCGTCGCAGTTGTTGCGAGACTTGCGAGTGTTGCGACGTTGAGGGACGATTTTCAAGCGTACCGCCAACAAGCACCCTTGTCGGAGTCACCGGAGAACATTCTCGACGAGTTGTGGCGGACGAGGAAGGTATCGGAAGGTTTTTTCGAAAAGAGAATCGCACTCGCGACGACACTCGGTCGCAATGTCGATCGGAGTCCCCATCAAGGTGCTTCACGAGGCCGAGGGCCACATCATAACCTGCGAGACGAACACCGGCGAGGTGTACCGCGGCAAGCTGATAGAGGCGGAGGACAATATGAATTGCCAGATGCAGAATATCACGGTCACGTTCCGGGACGGCCAGGTGGGGCAGTTGGAGAACGTGTACATCCGCGGCTCGAAAATCAGGTTCCTCATTTTGCCGGACATGCTGAAGAACGCGCCCATGTTCAAGCGACCTGGCGGCAAGGGCTCGGGCACAGCCGGCAGAGGGAAGTCCGCTATACTGCGAGCCCAAGGTTTGTCCTACGGGATCATTATTCTTGTAAACGTCGCTCGGATTAGAAGTTACATTACATTCTGACAACGAGAAACTAGGTGCTTTCCAGCAACGTACACAGGAGACACTGTAAAGCCTCGTGTCTACATGTCGGGAGGTGCTTGCCAGCAAGAGACAGATCGACACAGTGCAACGCAGAATCGTTTCATTTTTGCTTAACAATAGCAAACGAAGATAAAAGGATTCATTGTGTTAGTGTCTCCTGTGTACGTTGCTGGAAAGACCCGAGAATTGTGTTCCAGTTCGGAGAAATGTGTGACCAACTTGCAGCTTTTACGGAATAGTTGCAAGTTGATTAACTACACATTTCTCGGAACTAGAACTTGGACACTTATTTAATTTTCAAATGTATTTGATCCACATTTGAGCCTACTTTGAGTCTACATTCTCGTCTATCGAGGCAGTCATAGAGTTGAAGACTATTCCAACAGATTGGAATCCACTTCTGAAGCCAACGGCACACGACACTATTTTTCCTACTGAATACATACTTACTCGTAAGCAATAGCTTACGAGAGCCAATCAGGATTTAGCTTTAAATCACCCGATTTAAAGCTCTGCATCTTTATTGGTTCTCGTAAGCGATCCAGTAAGAAAAATAGCATTGTGTGTCGTTGGCTTAAGATACTTAATCCCATCGCTAATATTAGCAGTCGTGGATTTTTAATGACATGAGATATTTAATACTAAAATGAATAGATTTTCGTAGGTTTATATCCTTTTTGAAACGAAATTCGCATGTTGCACTTGTACATATCTGACAATTCTAACGTAATGAAATACTTTCAGCTCGCGGTAGAGGAAGAGGCCAAAATCAAAGAGGCAAGGGTACTGGTTCGGCACCTTGGCTGAATCAGCAGAGTCAACCGGGTGGATCTCAAGCTGGGAGAGGCAGGGGATAAATTGTATAATAAATATATTCTGATATTTAAGGACGAGTGTAATTTACTCCCGTATTTTTGTATATCATTTCGGAACAATATATTTCTGTGTAGATCGCGACTCATATTTTTAATGCATGTGATTGATAATAAATTAACTATCACTCTATATATTTTGTCCATTATTAAGAGATTACATCTTTGATGTCCAATCAGGATTAAATAATGTTCACTATTTGTCTTAATTGTGAGTTCACCACCGAGTTTACAATATAAAAATGTAACTAGTATGTTATTGAAAAAAAAATTTATTTCTATTCATCTTTTTTTAATTGACACGTTCGACTTCCCAATCAAAACTTTTCAATTTTACTTAATCTAATAATTGGCACTCGTTTCTCAAATCCAAATTTAACCGCGCTCACAGTACTTGAAGTGGGAATATAGCATTGGTGATTAGTTCCGCCGTTTTGCTTCAAAGCCAATGAAAACTTCGACAAGACTGTTCAGACCATAGACATAGTAAATATAGACCGAGCGTCCCATTGAATAAGCTGAAGCTTGTGAAGAGAGAGAGAGAGAGATTTAAGAAGACTTTCTTTCTCTGTTTCACCATCGAGACAAAGGAGGCGCAGACACGATTCTTTTCTTCTATGATAGTGTAAGACAGAGAAAAAAAGTCTTTTTAAATCTTCTCTCTCTCTCTCTCTCTTTACAAGCTTCAGACTCTCTCTCCTCTCTCTTCTTGGGACTCTAACTCCTATGTAACGGCAGAGAGAAACCTGAGGGCCTGTGTCCACGATGCTAGAACTTGGACCAAGTTCTAGCCTCGTAGATACAGGCCTTGAGAGTAGCCACCGGAAGTCTACTAGCTCAGAAACAGATATGCCTCCTGACCAAGTGGATGTCAACTACGTCCGTTCACTCGATAACGGTACACACGCTATGGTTCGTGTCCAAACTTCTCAGATGGATACGAGAGTCAGATGAGAGAAACAAGTGAATCAATTAATCGTTCTGACATTGTATTATTGAAAACAATAGATTGATCACAATAGATATCTCATATGACTCTCAACGGCACATCTTTTTTCTTGTATTAGGTACTTTACTGTTACTGTTTTCACCAGTTTTCACCGCGCATGCGCCAAAACCCGGCCCATTACTGTCTCTGCCTCGAGCGACTATTGGTCGGCGAGTGAAAACAGCCATAGACCGGGGTTTGGGCTCAGGCACGTGTTTTTGACATAACCTGTCGTGGCGAACGCAGCTGCAATTATGTTTAAACAATCTCAGCCGCAGTTACTTGACGTAAATAGAAAACCTAGTCAGCCGAAGAGGCGAAGAAAGCTCACACTTGTCTTCGACGAGGAGAAACGACGGTAATTATTTCGGCAAATTGTATACTTGTGTACACAGTCTGCGCGAACTTGTTTATATTTACGCAAGAGTGCAGAGAATTTTTAGGAGGATTTCGTAAGAGGAAGCTAGAGCGAAAGAGGAAGGCTCAGGAGCAGTTGCAGCAACAACTGAAAGAGGAACGAAAGAAAATTAAACAGGAAGTGAGTCGTGCTCTTGTTTCGAGTTGCCGAGGTGTCTCCCGAAGAATTACAGAAAGTACGATGATAATACATGTCATGTTTTCAGGCGCGAGAACGTTACAAGAAATCATTATCGCATCAAGTTGTCCCAGAGCTAGAAGAATTGTTGTCTAAACAGGAATACGATCACGGAGGGCACACGATTAGTATTTTAGAGTTGAACGTTGCAGATCTCGCGGAGGGAAGCGCGTGGATAGGTGAGAACAGAACTGCAGTAGTAAAGGAAGAGGCGCAAGATGACGGAAGTGACCAGTGTGACGACGACGACAGCGAGATTGTGGGAATGTCGTTACAAGAGAAACGTATGGATCGAGTACAGCAGAGAGTACAGCAGACCAAGTCTGACGGTCGCGAAGTGAAATCTGCAAAAGAACTGAAACAAGAGATCAAGAAGGCGGCGCTGAAACGAGTGCAAAAGAGTAAGGCGTTTCAACAGAAACAGAGGCTGGAACAGCAGAAAAACAAGAGGCAAAGCAGACAGAAGTTGCACAAAGTCCAGAAGCTGGCGCGCAAACGCGGCAAGAGGACCAAGAAATCCGGGCGTTAGGACTTTCGACACAAGTTTACTGCAAAAACTCGAAATAAATATATTTTATAACTTTGTGAACGTCGTGTACGTACACGATATATAAACGTGCGTTCGTTACTTCTTTTTCTTTCCGCCGCTTTTCGGGGCGTACGGGCAAATGTTCCTGTTGAGACACTCCGAGCACTTGGGAAATCGAGGTAGACAAGTGGTCTGACCGAATCCCACGAGGAGGTGATTTACTTCTTTCCACAGGGGTTTCGGAAGCCAATCCTCCAGCTCGTGTCTGGTCCCCTCCGGCGTGTTCGTCGGTTTTCTCACCCATTTCAGTCTGTTGCAAATCCTGTGAACATGCGTGTCCACGCCGATGCCGGACACTTCTCCCCAGGCAATTTGCATGCATATGTGAGCCATTTTAGGCCCTACCCCTGGTAGCTCGCACAATTCTTTCGCTGTCCTCGGTATATCGCCACCGTATTTATCGAGAAGGATTGTTGACGTCCTCTTTATATACTCCACTTTCCTCTGCGAGAGAAAAATACATATCTTTAATATAAAAAAAAACCTAAGCATACACCAAACAAATCTACGTGGTAATGAAATTAAAACTTAGCGAAAGAAGAAAACGAAAGGTTTATAACATAGCTGATAAATAGATTCGTATTATTTACGAAATTATTCATATGCCAGGAAGTTTAAAGCAAAGGTTGAATTCCAAGAATGTTTTGTAAACAGGCAATTAAGTCTTTACTTTCCAAAATCCGACTGGAAATATCAGCTTGCCCAGAACGTCGTCGGGGGTAGCTGCTATTATATCTGGCTTGCAACCGTAAGAGTTGAGGCGCTGCATAGCAGCGTGCGTGACCTGATCCTTCGTCTGGCTGCTCAGCATCAGGGCGATCAGCGATTGATATCGAGACACCACGGGACTGGCGTCGGGGTCCGCACACTTGTGGCAACCCATCGTGTCGACCGGGGCCGCCTCGTGTTTCCTCATTTCTTTAATGTTTTCGAGAATCGTCTCCCAGTTCGGTGGCATCCACTGTTCCTCCTTGATGCCCTTCGGGTCTGTCGATTGAACCGCATTCTCGTGCTTCACCTCACAATTCTCAGTTTTGACGTCCGTCAACGCTTCCGCAGCTTCGCTCTTTACCGCAACTGACGTAACGTCGGCCTCTTCGACGTCCGTCGCTTCGTGCTCGATCTTGATCGGTTTACGTTTCTTCACCGGTTTCTCGTCGGCGAAGTAGGGCGACGTCTTCTCCGAGGAGTCCGCGTTCACGAAGGTTCTGTTGGAACGTAATGCTCTTGAGACACCAGCCAGCTTCAACCGTTTGCTCATCTTGTCGGGTTACAGAAACGCGTTAGGGTGCTGTCGAATCAATTTTTACGAGCAACGGAACACACGCACTCACATGCGGCATTTAAAATTGGCATAACCAATCCCGCTCGCACCCAGCACCGGTCAGTCAAGGCTAGAGCTGCAATTAGAGTGAAGACAGTTGTTCGCTTCGTGCAACTGCACCGTGCTTAGCTGTCTGCACTCAAAAGAGAGATAGATAGCAGAGAGAAGCCTGAGAGATGTCACGGCCCCGTTTTTCGTGATACGCGAATGCGATACGCCCTCTGTGGACATTGAAAACGTGGA